CTAGTCTGTATTCAAGCAAAGTATATGTTCTTTCTCCCAGGACTGTACAGTAGGTATTATTTCATTATTGTTCTACTCTTTTATCATTTGAGGAAAGGTCGCAGGGAAACTTCCACAAGGAAACTTGTCAAATATCCTAAAATGTTAATATTTCATCCATACTTCCGTTTTGTGATAGATTGGTTATTCCAATACTTTGACATGGAACTTATGCCTCTTTTTGTTGCACGAGGAAGAGTTCACTATATGTTTTGCATGCCATAAATGGAGTACTTTTGCTGGTTTTGTTTATTTCAGGCCTTGAGTGCTAGGTTATTGTAAGTGGTAAAAAAAAATCACAGACAAATTCCCTGATTTTTATATGTTGAAAGATCAATATAAAAGGTTCTTTTTGTTGGTAGAGTTAGAAACCATTAGCTTTCAGAATTCCCGGCTCAAAACACCATTACATTTAGTTGACTGCGGAAGGCCTAGGCAAAAAATAAATTTGGAGTGAGAAGTTTTTGCATTTGTCTAGTATTTTACTTCTCCAGCAATCTGAGATTGTGAACACCTGAACAGGTGGCTACTTTAGTATCACAAATTCAGCTTAGTCTGCTCGTGCACTACACACACTATCAAACTAACCCCATTTCCAGTTCCTTGTTCTATAGAACTTTAAACTTGAAATTTAGGTTTAGTATCTTGACGACATTTGATTAGTTGAGCGTGAATGAGAAATTATCTGTCTCCATATGGTACGCCTCTTTCAGGAGGCTGCATCTGGAAATATAACCTAATTTTCTGGTATTATATATTGTGGACTTTTTGTCCCTGATACTGAAACAAATGTGTGCTAGCCCATCAACCAAATTCTCTGCTAATGATGCCCCAGAAGCAGCTGCTTGGGTTCAAAATTGTTGTTTCCTATTTTAACTAAATTTGTCAGTGACCCTGGTCATTTGCAGAAGCTATCAACAAATCCAAGGGTAGTGCTCCGTTCTTCTGGTTTCCTCTCCATATTCTCTCTTAAGTTTGTTCAAAAAGGAGGGAAAGGGAAAGAAAGGTAGGTTAATAGCGAGAAGGAATAAAGAAGAGGAATTGAAGGAGACCAATTTTAATTATTTAGTTTGGTTCAAGGGGATTTGAAGAGGGAAGAAAGTTATATCCGTTGCCTTCCTCTCGAAGTAAAGTTGTACTCTTCTTCCATGCTTTTGAAGTTAAACAAGTCACCCCAGAAGTAAAATTTGTTTTATTCCTCCTCTTACACTACTTGTGTTTCTAAATGGGTAAAGCAAAAATCAAAAAGAAAACTTAGAAGTTTCACTGATTTTGTCAATTGTTGGCTTGCTGGTAATTTCAAGTCCCATGAGTAGAGCTTAAGCAACCTTTCTGAAGTTATCTTCAAATTTATGTAAGTGTAAAGTGCAGTGAATTCATACATGAAATGTATTTTCTGTCCATTCTATGACAAAGTTGTTGGCAAAACGGATTGTGATTGGTTGAAGTCTCATTCCTTTACCATTGAGCTAATTATCACCATATCATTGGTTCAATTGATAGTCTGCAGCTCTAAAGGAAGCCATTGATGACCTTGAGTGGCCAGGATCAAGCATTCATCTTATCCTACAGCCTACACCACCATCAGTTACCTTTAGAGGTGAAGGCCATGGTGACTTACAGGTACAGCTTGACCTGATATTTTAGTAGTATTCTATCCTCATGCTATCTACCCTCATCTGTTTTTGCATTCATTTTTGCAGATAGACTTTATGTGCCAAGCAAACACGGATCTTCTGGTTGCATTTCATTGTGATCGGGAAGTCTCTCACAGGTTTCTCTCCTCCGACTGAGTGTGAAGTAAGAAGCCACATGCTTTACATTTGTGCTTGACTATATGATCTGATCAAGACCTTCACATGGACAGGTATAAATACAAATTTCTCCGTGCTACAACCTCAAACATACCCAGCAGTGTCATTCGGGATAATCGAGGAAGTAAACTGACCATTGGTAGAGGGGGAATGCTCAAAGTTCAGCATCTGGTCTCAGTTGCAAAACCAGCAATACCACAGCCGCATGTTGATTCTGCCGGCTATCAGCAACCCAGCCGTATTGCTTATATTGAATTCTTTGTCAAGCCAGAGGTAGATGAAGACGATGCGAATGATACATAGATGATAGGAGTCTCTTGCTTAACAAAATTAGTTGCTAAATTTTCTTATTGAAGGGGAGATTGGCAGGTAGATTTAATGTCTATTGGGGCAAAAAAGTAGGGACCGAATTATTTCGGGGAGTTTGAACCCGACGTGAATCGAACACGCAACCTTCTGATCTGGAGTCAGACGCGCTACCATTGCGCCACGGATCCCTGTTGGTTTAAAAAGCAATTAATTTAATTTATACAACACAACATTAGCATGTTATGTCAAAAAATATTTCGTTTATAACCCAGGTCCCAGCGACTGTCTAAGCCTTATAAATTTATTTAAGTTTAGGATATTTATACTGATTTAAGGTTAAGTTTATCATTTTAAATAGGATTATAGTTAGAGCGTACAAAAGGTATGTACTCTATAATTTGAATCAAGACTTAAAAGTTAATTTTTCATGATCACTCATCTAATAACTTTTAGGATACAAAAAAGTACGTACTTTGTAGTTTGAATCGAAACTTTAAGTTAATTTCTCAAAAAGTAAATCAATTTTGTTTTGTAGGACATAAAAGTCATTCGACTAATGGTAATATTCTTAGAAAGTCACTCAATTTTGTTTTGTAACACAAATTTCACTCAACTATTGTCATTTCACCTAAAAGTTATTGGACTAAGATTTGTTGGAAACCAAAATTGGCCGCATATGTGTTTGTCCAAGATATGTCAAAATTGATTTGACTTGCAATTCAGGCACATTGCTCTTTTATCCCAGTCAAGAAAGTTGTTCGCTAGGAAAGAAGATGAAGCCTTTTTAATGAATTAAGTAGTACTAATTAACTGGGAACCTTAATTCTTAAAACAAATTAAAGTTGTAATTATTTGGAATTATACAGTTAATTAAACCTAGGCTTCAAAATGGGTCATTATTTGGAATTATATAGTATAAAGTTATGAGTATTTTAGTAAGGAATGTTTGAGTGGATTTTTCTCGCAAGTTTGGTCAAAGTAATGGCCAATGGCTGCCTAGTAAGCTCCAAAGTATTGTGTTTAGAGCTTCACAAAACCAATTTAAAATCTTCTTTCATACCAAACAAATTTTTAAATCTCTAAATTTTGTATCTAAATCTGGGATCTTTCTTCTGACTTTGACAAGGCAAGTGCAGAATAACGTATTTATATTTTTTGTAGAATTTTGATAAAGACAATTCTATTAGAATTAGAGAAATCAGAAAATCATGGATCGAGGGGCACATAAAATGCTTATATCCAACTACCGTCTACAAAGAAGTGTAATTCATTTGTATATATAAAATAGATTTTTATCGACCAATATTAATGATTTTCTATGAGAAATTATAAAAGTTTACTTTTATTTATTATAATTATGATGTTCGGATTAGCTAGCACGTATCTGATATTTGTTACCTAACTTATCCAAACAGGCCATTAAAGTGGCTACTGCCTACTAAACACACAAAAAAAACCGATTAAAAAACAAAACAAATAAAGGGACCGAAATATTTCGGGATTTTTGAACCCGACGTGAATCGAACACGCAACCTTCTGATCTGGAGTCAGACGCGCTACCATTGCGCCACGGATCCCCGTTGTCTATAAATACAATTATTTAATATATAATACTTAATAACTCAGAAGAAATGTATGGCGATGGCATAAAATTAGACAGATCAGCCAATGAACTTTTTAGGATATTTTATCTTCAACTATATATATACACTAACACTTCCCGGCGCGAAACCGAACTTAGTCGGGCTTCAATGTAGGTATCGGACACTAGGTGAGAAACAAAAAAAAAATATAAATAATTCTGCATTTCATATTTTTGTTATGAAGCTAGCTGGGAATAAGCCAATCTGCATGAAATATAACTTAGATCCATTTTGTTAATGCGTTCAAATTATAGGAAAAACTGTCGGTGCATCTGAATAATATTAGTACATAAGAAAAACGTGGAGAGTCGAAAAAAAATAATAATATAACTTACCCAATTTGGTGGTATTTTGTTTTCTTTCTTTCAAGGAGTTCTCTTTGTTTGATAAATATAAAGTGTGGTACACTACATAAAATTCATCTTCACATCTGGAAATATGCATCTTCATTCAAATATGTATATAATAATCCCCATGGATTAGAGCGCTATATTCAAATATCCACATGGGTGATGGGTTGCATTATTGTTCAAGGATATATTATAATAATAAACTTCTTTCTTTTTTTCATTCAAGATTCGATATCTATATTGATGTCCGATTAAATTCTTACTCACATTGAGAAATGCCATATTAGAGGAGAAAACGTACTTTAACAAAGACGACTCTATATCTAACTGAACTCAAATTTGAGACTTTTGATTAAAGAATACCTAAATACTCCACCTCGTTCCTAGTTATAAGCATAGGCGAACCCAGGATTTAAATACTTCGGATGCACCAATAAACTTAAAATAAAAACAAAGAAATAGGGTTCTAGCTGGATTCAAACCCCTAGTCTTGTGGACAATTTCTCTAGCTTGTACCAGTGGCACAAGGGAAATCTTATACTCCTCATGCGTGCATTGTTAGTTATATTCTAGTTTTTGTCAGTTTCTCAAGATAAATATACATATATATAGACGTGATTTTTTTCGAAGTTAACGAATGCACGTGCAAAATTTTGGTGATCCACCTCTTATAAGTTGCTTCAACTTTCATATGCTCCCTCCAAGAAACTTCACTATTGGAAAGGCTCATGAATATTTCCACACATGAATAAACATTAATTATAATAAAAATAAGTGCCAACTCAAAATTCAAACTAGCTAGCTATAAATAAATTCCCAACATATCCAATATTTTCACACTAAAATCATTCAAATTCCCAATGTATTCCTCTAGCTACTATCCCTTTCATTTTTGTTTTCTTCTCATCATATCATCAACTTGTCTAGCTCAAACAAATTTCCATCCTAAAACATTATTCCTTGCAGTGAAACAAGACCCTTCAACTCTACAATACATCACAGAAATTCACCAACGAACACCTCTAGTCCCCGTTAAACTCGCAGTCCATATTGGTAGCGAAAATCTATGGGTGGATTGCGAAACGGGCTTTAAAAGCTCAACGTACAAGCCCGCTCGTTGCGATTCAAGGCAATGCAATCTCGCAAGATCAATAGCTTGCGGAGATTGTAATACCGAAAATACAACCCGGCCCGGTTGCAACGACAATGTGTGCTACAACATTGTGTCCAATCCGGCTATGAATACTTTCTTTTCTGGTGGTGAAATCGCGGAGGATGTTTTGACAATCCAATCCATTAACGGTTCCATTCCGGGCCCTGAATCCCGCGGGCCCGTTGTAACTGTCTCGAATTTTATCTTCAGCTGCTCTCCATCATATTTCACCCAAAATTTAGGCAAAAATGTTAAAGGAATGATTGGATTTGGTCAGCAAAGTCCAGTATCGTTTGTTACTCAACTTGCATCAGCTTTTAAATTCAGTAGACAATTTGCTATTTGCTTGAGCTCATCAACTCAACAAAACGGAATCATTTTTATTGGGCATAGGCCTTATATCTTTGCACTAGGCTTTGACGCCTCGAGAGATCTAATCTATACACCTATTATAACCCACCCGAATTTTTTTCTCATCAATCGCGGTTCACCAGAGTATTATATTCAAGTTACGTCCATTACAATTAATGAAAAAACATTGGCATTGAACAAAACATTGCTCTCGTTGGATGAGAATGAAGAAAACGGGACGAAATTCAGCACGGCCGTTCCTTATACTGTATTGGAGCCTTCTATTTACAATGTTGTGAGTAAAGCTTTTATTAGTGAAATGCCGAAAGATGTGAAGACTGTACCTGCAGTGCAGCCTTTTAAAACTTGTTTTGACTCAACATATGTTGGTATGTCACGCCTTGGATATAATGCACCTAAAATTGATTTGATTCTCCATAAGCCAAATGTGCGTTGGACTATTACTGGAGCTAATTCGTTGGTAAAAGTTAGCGATCGCGTAGTATGTTTAGCGTTTGTTGAACGAAATCAAACGTTTGGACAGGCGATTGTTATTGGTGGGTTTCAAATGCATGACAATCTTGTGGAATTTGATCTTGCTAGAAGAAGAATTGGGTTTAGTAACTCGTTATATTTCCATCAGACTACGTGTTCGAATCAATTTTATACTATGGGAAATTAAGGGGTTTTTTTTTTTTTGTTCAATAAGCTTCATGTTTGATGATCTTTTAAATCATGATTTAGTGGATTATGTGTTATATAATGTAGTGTGTGCGCCATGTGAAGCTGATCACTAACATCTTCATATTCTTATTAATGGAAGTTGTATTGTCTCAAAATTCGTGTGTTTCTCTTTTACACGCGTCTCTTAACAAAATATTAGTTACAACCACAACCAATTCTTAAGTAGCCACAACCCCTATTGTGTTAACCTTTACCGTCAAATGTCAGCATCACTAACTACAATCATTATCATAACAACCGACAATCACCACCATCATTCATTACTATTTATCGATAACTAATAATTTATCATACCACCATCATTCAACATCATTTTCATCGGCATCCATAAATTGTAAACCACCAACCATATAACTTTTTAAAAGTTTTGTTATAATTTGTACTCCTACAACTAAGTAGATCAATTTAATATTTTATTTAATAATTTTTAAATAAAAACAAATTTTACATATTTAGATGCTAGAAAACAAACTTTAATCTCAACAAAAATAAATGATGTCTAATATAGTATTAAATATAAACAAAAATATGAGAAAAAAAAGTATAGGGACCGAATTATTTCGGGGCTTTTGAACCCGACGTGAATCGAACACGCAACCTTCTGATCTGGAGTCAGACGCGCTACCATTGCGCCACGGATCCCTGATGCAATAAAAACATAATTAATAATATATTACCTATAATCCATATAGTGGTTGTCTCGTTTTTCTTTTTTATAATCAATATAGGATACTCATTGTTGATAAAATAATTTGAATTGTTTATTGTAAATTGCAATTTGTTTTGGAGATTTTACCTTCTTTATCTTATTTTGAATTACCGACCTATTCTAAATGGAAAGAGCATTTTGAATTCAAAAGAAAATAACTTTGATAATAATTACATAGTTTTTATATCATAAGAAGACCATCCTTCAATATTTTGGTCATAATTAATCTTAGTTAGAACTTAGAAGGTTTGGCAAAATTTTCAACTAGTATTGAGGTTAGGAACATATACGTCCTCAATGTTAGTCTAAGATATAAATTAATATATATATATATATATATATATATATAGAGAGAGAGAGAGAGAGAAACAATATCAAAAATGCGAAAACTAAGACATGATTGCCAGCATTATTTATGTACCACAAATTACAATTACAATTAATGACAAAAATGAACTTGGTTATCTTTTAAGTAGATTCAAGCCTACTGTGACATAATCTATATTGATCGAGTACTATATTTTTTTATTTGTCTTTTTCAGGATATATAGTCCAATAACGTGGTACAGTTCAAACAACTTCAGATTAGTTGAAGAGTACAAAGTTCCATCATTAGAATACATTCCTTCAACATATAAATTACTCTCTAATTTTGTATAATAAATTAGTTGAAGACTTAGAAAGTTTTTTCTCAGCCTAAACTTTCTTTTTCATTATACTAACCTCAATACAAACGCAATATAATACTTCGTTCTCATCTTTCTTCACTTTATATATTTTCTTGTACATGAAAGAAAGTAAGACCATCACTATTAAAATGTTACGAGAACCAACAAAGTATCTTAATTGAATTACCGAAAATCATGAATACATGAAGCTTATTGAACAAGAAATTGAAAACCAATTTAGGGCCTTATCATCTTCATATTTTTTGAAGATTCCCGCCTTAAATCAGATTTGAAAGATCATCAAACACGAAATTTAAGAAAATAGAACGACCTCTTAAGAAGTATAGAATTGATCTGAACACATAGTCTGACGGAAAAAAAGAGAGTTAGTAAACCCAATTCTTCTTCTAGCTAGATCAAATTCCACAAGATTGTTCTGCATTTGATAACTACCGATAACAATCGCTTCTCCCGTTTCTTTTTTCCCTTCAACAAACGCTAGGCAAAACACTCCCTGGTTTACTAATAACAATGAATTCGCTCCAGTAATTGTCCAAAACACATTTGGATTATGGAGAACAAAATAAATTCCAGGTGCATTGTAGCCCAGGCCCAGGGGTGATATACCAATAAACGAAGAGTTAAAACAAGTTTTAAAAGGTGCCACTGGAGATACAGTTTTCACATTTTTCGGCATTTCACTAATAAAAGCTTTACTTACGGCCCTGTAAATAGAAGGCTCCAATTCAGTATAAGGAACGGCCGTACTGATTCTCGTCCCGCCTAATGAGAGTAATGTGTTGTTCAATTGCAAAGTTTTCGCGTTAACTCTAATGGAAGAAACTTGAATGTAATACTCTGGTGAGGCGCGAATTATAGGTGTATAGAAAAGATCTTGCGAAGCATCAAAGCCAAATGCAAAGAGATAAGGCCTATGCCCAATAAAAATGATTCCGTTTTCTTGAGGTGATGAACTTAAGCAAATAGCAAATTGTCTGCTGAATTTAAAAGCTGATGCAAGTTGAGTAACAAACGATACTGGACTTTGCTGTCCAAATCCAATCATTCCTTTAACATCTTCGCCTAATTTTTGGGTTAAAAAAGATGGAGAACAGCTGAAGATAAACTTCGGGATAGTTACAACGGGCCCGCGGGATTCAGGGCCCGTATTGGATCCGTTAACAGATTGGATCGTCAAAACATCCTCCGCGATTTCAGCACCAGAGTAGAAAGTATTATTCATAGCCGGGTTGGACACAATGTTATAACACGCATTGTTGTTGCAACCGGGCCGGGTTTTATTTTTGGTTTTACAATCTCCGCAAGATGTTGATCTTGCGAGATTGCATTGCCTTGAATTGCAATGAGCGGGCTTGTACGTTGAGCTTTTGAAGCCCGTTTCGCAATCCACCCATACGTTTTCGCCACCAACATGGACCGCGAGTTTAACGGGGACTAGAGGTGTTCGTTGCTGAATTTCTGTGATGTATTGTAGAGTAGAAGGATCTTGTTTCACTGCAAGGAAGAATGCTTTAGGATGGAAATTGGTTTGAGCTAGACAAGTTGATGATATGATGAAAAGAAAACAAATATGGAAGAGATAGTAGCTAGAGGAATACATTGGGAATTTGAATGATTTTAGTGTGTAAATATTGGACATGATAGACATCTATTTATACTTAATAGTTATACCTACTTCGTTTCAATTCAATTTGATCGTCTTAGTTTCATTTTTACTTTGCTTTAAAATGAAATATTTTTTTTGTATTTTTTTAATTTCAAATTCTCGCGTGACATGTTTACAATCATACAAGTATTTCCTTTGTCTTCCTAGAACGTGTTGCTTTCAATATCATCAATTTATCATAAGTAAATTCTTTAATAGCATAACTGCATAAGGATGTATCTTTCCAGATCTGAAGATGAATTTTAAATGGGTTAAAAAATTCCACTCGCTTAATCGTAATTGTTTGTAGTCATCATTCTTGTTAACTCAATATATAATTAATATTTTTTAGTGTTAGAATCCATTTTATAAAGGATAAACTACATTATTAGACATACATCACTACTATATATACTAATATTATCTTTACTTTCAAACAATTACATATATTACCACTTTTAATATTTTGTACCATATATTAATATATTATTTGAAGATACAATTAGATTATTAGATACCCACATACCTTAAAACTATGATTGATTAATTATCTGCTTAATTAACTCTTTCACTCCAAATCAACCACTATCTCTTAATTCTCCCCTCCCATATTTATCACTCAATTATGTCTCCTCCTTTATGATTCAGGAATTTCATTCCAATAATAGCTAATCTACTCTCTTCTTCTCAAGATATCATCACCATGGCCGACAAATTCTCCTGAACCCAAATATTATTATGTATTGTTCATTTATAACTAGATCAAATCAAAGTAACTGCTACAGAGAAAACTTTAATTCAAAGTGGGTCTTGATTGTTTGTCTCCGGAAGAAATGGATCTTAGTTTTGATTATGTTATGCCACAACGCAAAAGGATCAAAGGGAGTATTGTAGAGAGCTTTTGTTTGTTGGTGTTCTTCTAAGGCTTTCTTTGGTTACCGTGACATGGATTTGGTAGTACCAATATTACTTTGATATAGCCCTTGAAACATGTGTATCCATAATTAGATGTATATGCTTTTTCTTTTTGTATATTCCATATTTAGATACACATAATTAGATGTATATGCTTACTATGTATTCGAGATACATGTTTTTGGATATAACATATGCAATTGATACTTGATACATCAAATTAGTACTAGATACATATAAAAGATACATGAAATTAATATTTTATATATATATATATACATAAAATTAATACTAGATACCTATAACAAATACATGAAATTAATTCTAGATACTTCTATGATACATATGAATGTACTTGCAGGACACTCATGTATCTATGTGTTTAGTTTGTTGGATACATCATATATTGATATAGATACATCAAATTAATGAATTTATTATTTTAAGAGTAATAATTTGAAATTAATCAAATTGCATTACCAAGATATACATGTTTTTATCTTATATTAATAATATATATTAATGAATTTACTATTTCAAAGAATAATAAAATGAAATTAATTATCTATGTATTTTGAAAATCCTCAATTACTCCTCTAATTAAGGAAATTAGTTCCAACCAATTAATTTAAATAAATAAATTTTGTATCTCAATTTTAAAATTCGGCAAATACTGCATGTATCTCATGGATTCAGACTCATGTATCCTAAGCATAAAATATGGTACAGGAAGTAATATTTGAAACTATTGAGAATCTTAATAATTAAGACCTAAACTAGTGAGATTTATGTGGTTTGCCCTTTTATAAATAGGGCCCACAGTTCATATTTATCAAGGACTAGGTCAAAGTCAAACTAAGGAAGCTCAATTTGCTATACTATATTTCGCTAGCATTTGACGATAGATTTTCAAATATTTTTGGCAAATATTATTTGGATGAAAATTTGGATGAAATTCCATCATGTTTTTTTGCCATATA